GCGGGGCCACCTCGGGGAAACTTGAGGGTTGATTTTACTCGTAGCTTGACCTATCTGAGTGTGCCCTGAGAACAAGATATGTGCAGCTCCTATCGGGATTTGTCGGCACATTCGGGCGGTGTTGCTGATCTTGTTTTAACCTGTCGAAGTGTCTTGAGTAACCGAGATACCGAGTCTGATCGGAACGTCTTGGGAGGAGGTCTATTCCTTCGTTGATCATGAGAGCTTGTCATGGGCTAAGTTGGGACTCCCCTGCAGGGATTGAACTTTCGAAAGCCATGCCCGCGGTTATGGGCAGATGGGAATTTGTTAATGTCCGGTTGTAGATAACTTGAACCTTAACTTAATTAAAATGAATCAACTGAGTGTGTTACCGTGATGGCCTCTTCTCGGCGGAGTCCAGGAAGTGGACACGGTGTTGGAGTAATGTTTGCGCAGGTTGCTCTCTAGTTTCTCGCTCGCGCTTTGCCTCCTCTTCTCGCTCTCTTTTGCGAATAAGTTAGCCACCATATTTGCTAGTCGCTTGCTGCAGCTCCACATATTTACCTTGCCTTACCTACAAGCTTAAATAGTCTTGATCGCGAGGGTGCGAGATTGCTGAGTCCCTGTGGCTCATAGATTACTATTACACCAGATGCAGGGCCTGATGATTCCGCTCCAGGAGACACGTATGAGCTCAAGTGGGAGTTCGACGAAGACTCTCATCGTTACTATGTTTCCTTTCCCGATGATCAGTAGTGGTGCCCAGTTGGGGGGTGAACGGGACCGTGTCGCATGTTGGGTTCTCTTTTATTTTGGCGCCGTAGTCGGGCCATGAGTGTTTGGATGATGTAATGTTATTTATGTACTTGATTGACGTGGCGAGTGTAAGCCAACTATGTTATCTCCCCTTTCATTATTATATTACATGGGATGTTGTGAAGATTGCCTAACTTGCGACATATGCCTTCAATGCGATTATGTCTCTAAGTCGTGCCTCGACACGTGGGAGCTATAGTCGCATCGAGGGTGTTACAATTAGTTTGATATTTTCTTTAATAATGTAAATGAACTCTTGTGGTACTTTGCTTTAAGAACAAGAAGTAGATGTTCTCTATCAAATGGTTGCACTACGATGCCTTGAGGCTTTCTTTCACAAAAATGCCTATAAATGCTTGCTGAGCAAATAGTTATTTAGGTTGTCAGTGGAGATTGAACGTATGTGGACACAAATTCTACACAACAAATACTTATAATCTAAGATGTTAGCCCAGGTTACCGTAAGCCCTTCTGAAAGGGGCTAATGAGGGTAAAGGACACCTTTTTCCGTAGAGTGAAATTTGGTGTTGATAACGGCACAACAATGAGATTTTGAGAAGACACGTGGTTAGGGAAGACGCCTCTAGCCTCAGATGCTAGAGAGGTGGTGAGTGATCTGGTGAATGGCAACCAAGGCTAGCATGATGAGATCATTAAAGAAATCAAATCCAGAGTAGCTAGCTTTGCATGTAATTTTTTAAGGTCGTTTAGTTAATGAGTATGCTCATGAGTTAGGGAGGTTTTTCTCTTTCTTCAGGTCATGATCGTCATTTGTGGCTTATTCAAATCCATGGCCCGAATGTTATCCCATAAACTATTGTTTTCGATGAATAAAGCATTGCTTTACCCCTAAAAACATGATTTTTTGTGTTGTTCTTTTTTTGGAGAATCCTATTTAACACGCTTTGCGTCAATTAGGTGCCGAAACGCATAGGCGAACGAGTAGCTGGTTTGGCCTATTTGTGTGGTGGTTTGCAGAGATCCCTTCTGATGCTCTCGTTGCTTGGAGAACGATCATTGTGCTTGTGACTGTTGCAACCCATGGTGTCCTCTCAGCTCGCTGGCATGTCGTGTCATCCCGCTTGTCTCTCGCATTAGCACCCAACATTGTCAACCTCCTGCTCGAGGAGAGGCCCAATTAAAATCCACACTCCCTTCAATTATGCTTCGCCATGGATCTTGGACGTCTGTGGTTTTTTTGCTTCCGCTAGCCCGGCATCCCCATCCATTGGTGCTTCAAACCGCTCTGGCTGATCAGACCGAGTTGCTTCAAGGTTGGAAGACACGAATTGAGAGCTTCCTGGAGCGGGCGGAGGCTGCTTTGAGCATGCTCTCCTTTGTGTCGGCTAAGGTTCTGGCCACGCAGACACCACTCTCTCCTGTTGGCTCCACTGAGGACGAAGGGGCAGAGCCATATGGTTGTTTCTTCTCTCGTGTTCGGGAAACTTCATCGTTGATGTCCGCTTCGTCCGTTATGCCTGCCGTTGTGGGTGAGTCCATCGTCGTGCTTACCTCATGCTCGAGCTTCGGGATATATGTTCGATCCCTGCTTCGCCTCTGTCCTTGGAGCGGTTGGAGGTGGGCTCGTCGACGACCTTGTGTGAGGGGCATGTTTATCCTTGGTCTTGTGAGCAACTGGAGGCGCCGAAGTCCATTGTGTCGATGGTTCCTGTGGTGGAGGGTGTTGTGTCGTGGGTTCCTCGGGTCGACGATGTCGATGCGGCCGGTCTGTTGGTGTCTGCCCCTAGTAGGAGCCCCTTGGTTGATGATAACTACATCAAGAAGTACAATGGGTTCCATGATTTTCTTGACGAATGGGTGGCTGGTCAGCCTGGAGCCGGCAACACAAGTGGCTGCCTCCTCTAGAAGAAACCCAATAGGGAGAAAGCAAAGAGAAACAAAAGCAAGAAGGGTGGTGTCATCCGGAAGACGCCCGCGATTTCATGATGGAGGGTGCTCCATTTTTATCGTGGTCGGTGTTCTTGTGTGAAGCTCCATTGTGTTGTACAAGTGTCGAGGGTTTCGGTTGTGGTGCATTGGGAAGGACACATGTGCGGTCACGATGTTTTATGTTGTGTGAGTAGTACGACTTTGAGTTGTTTGTATGGATTTTCGCCCGGTTTTCTAAAAATTAACTGGGCAATTATCTTCTTCTTAATTAATCGGTGAGGCAAATCTTTGCCTCCATTTTGAAAAAAAAACAGGACATGGATCTGGTATTGAGAACCATCCAGAAGGATTCTAAATCTAAAAAATAATAATTCTAGAAGGTTTTTGAATGTTTTCTTCACTGGTATTATTATTATTATTATTATTAATATTATTGTTTTTCGGTTTCTTCTTTTTTATGATCTTTCTTTTTTCTTTGTGTTGCTTTGAACTGAAAAACAGAGGTCTCGGGGTCGTGAGAAGACAGAGATAACCCTAATCTCCAAATCCTTCCTGTCCGGCGACGCCACCAGATCCCCACCAAAATCGGAACCCCGTCGTGATGGGCGACGCCGCCGACGCACCCCGCCGGCGTCGGCTGGACTCAATTCTCCTCGCCCGGAAACCGCGCCTCACCGACAGCAGGAACGAGACCACGGCCACAGCCGTATCCATGGATGGCTTCACCATGGCGGTCTCCTTCTGGATGGCCGACCCGCCGCAGCTGTCCATCTTCTCCATCTACTGCTGCCGACCCCCTCATCTGCAAGCCGGGCCGTACTGCAATTTCAAAGATTTGCCACGCGTGGTCGGCGTCGGCGCGGAGGGCCGATTCGTCCTCTTCCGCGCCGTCTTCGACCGCCGATACACATCCGAATATTTCCTGTACAAGGCCGGCGAGTCGCCGTCGCTCGAGTGGATTCCTTCTCCCTACGAGTATCATGATGGCGACCTCCATGATCTGCGCGGGGTCAGGGAGTTCGGCGTCCTGCAGCAGCTCGGCGGCCACTATCTCGTGGCCGCTCTCTGCCTCGACCCGTTGTCGGATGACTATCACCTTCGGATCTACTCGTCCGAGAGAACGTCATGGAGCACCAGGACACTGCCCAATCCATGTCCTGGGGTCGACAGGATTATACCCGACAAGGTGATCACGCTTGGAGAAGAAGGCTTACTAGGGTGGGTTGATTTGTCACACGGCCTGCTGATGTGCGACCTGCGTCAAGATCATGTGCGTTTCACTTTCATCCCGTTGCCGGAGCCGTTGCCTGGGAACAGATACAAACTAAAAGGTCACATTCCCCCTCCCACCGCAAAGAGAAGCAAAAAACCAGAGGACGAATCTCACCCAAATCTCTGGTGGTTTCGGGATCTCGCATGGGTTGATGGCGTGCTCAAGTTTATTGAGATGGAGAATCTTGCTCCTGAAAGCCAGAGCGACAAGGGTGATGTTATCTACGATTCAGACTTGATCATGTCGCTCGAGCGCAAGGCCGTGGATTGGCATTGCAAGCAGCTGTCCATTGGGGGTGCCTGGAGGGCTGTGACATGGACTCGGACAGTTTCGTCCAACTGTTGGCGCCAGACATGTGCTGCCAATGTCGCTGACATCTTGGTTGTCGACGGATCAGCACATTCATCTTTGTTGCCCGGGTTAAAGGGCGAAAAGTTGACATTCAGGGACCTCTACTCAGCTTTCCCCATCCTGAGCCCGGATGGTGACGATATTCTTTATCTCAAATCAATGGTGGAACCCAGTAATAAGGATGGATGGGCGGTCGCTGTTGACTTAGGAAACAAGGCAGTGAAAGCAATTGGCAAGTATTGTCTTCCGGATGATTTTTATTATAGCTTCCGTCATGACCCTGAACATCCTTTCCGTGTCTGTACATTGTCCCTGGTAATTGTCTCCAGGTAACTGTTACCTGCTCGCTCTTATTGTTTGGCATGCCTATGCAATGCTTACAATCCTTGTCCACTTAGTTATTACTGTCTCCGGTCTTTTTTACTCCGCATATAAGATTTGTCTGAAGTCAAACTTCGTAAAATTTGACCAACTTCATAGAAAAAAAATATCAACATTCACAATACGAAATCAATATATTTTTTTGAAAGAAATACGAAATCAATATCATTAGATGCATCATGAATTCAATTTTCATATTGTATAACTTTAGTATTGTAGATGTTGCTATTTTTTCATATAAATATGGTCAAACTTTACGAAGTTTGACTTCAGACAAAATCTTATATAAGGAGTAATAAAGACCGGAGGGAGTATGTTCTTCTTGTGACTGCGTTGGCGAATTAACCTGGGTGCTATTTGGACCCACTTGATGGCTGCCTGATACCTGCATATTGCTTTGTGCATCTTCTGCGTATTTGCCAGTTCCCTAAAACCCCGGGATTGTGAGTATGGTGTTGCTTATGATTTTAGCGGTTTCTGTAGGCATAGAAGTCTCAGCGTGTCGCAAGATCACAGGGGATGCTAGCAGCTCTTCAAATTATCCAAGCAACACCTCAGTAAGTATTTTGTATCACTTTTTATTTCAACGAAAGAATTTCTGCCAACTCCAAGTAACTTGCCATCTCTTCTGTGCATAGTTCCGTGCGGGTGAGCTCAATTCCTGCGAACCAAGGAGCAAAATCCAAAGGCAAGTTTCTTATTCTCTAACCTTTCTTCTGCTAATGCCTGGGCACCTATGATCCGATTTAGATCAATTCGTTCTATAATTTGATATCTATTCACCTATTAGTTTTACCTGATATTACCATATTGGGTTATTTTTTCCAATTGACTTTCTGTTCCTCAGGTCATTGGAATGGGCTCGGAAAAACAAGCATGCACGAAATGCTGCTGGGACTTTTATGCAGAATGATCATATTTCCCAGGTCCATCCTATTGAAAACAATCTGTGGAGGTTTCCATGAGGGCAGTCCAATTTACGTTCTGTTTATTATCGGTGGCTCATCTAGTCTCTCTCTCTCTCTTCGTTCGTGATGCGAGCAGCAGCTTGACGATAAGGTGCTGGAGCTAGAGCAGGAGATAGAGCAGGAGCTAGAGCGGGGGTGGAAACAGAAGAGAGAGCAGAAGGTATATTTGGCCGAGATCCGTGTGAACTTGCTTTTGCGAATTTCATCCTTGTGCTGTTGTTCGCTTTGCCATGCATCGATAGTTGGCAATCCCATATGCCCTGTTTCCAATCAATTTTCCCATCATCGTTCAGCAAGGTTAATTAGAATGCACCATTTCCAGCCACAACAGCAGTGCTTCAACAAGTGGGATGCGCCGTGCTACCCCCCTGGACATTCAGTGTGGCCCCATCAAAACAATCTGGTATGCTGTATTCCATATACCCTGTTTCACATTTATCTATTTTCTCATCATCATACAGCAAGATTAACTAGAATGTACCATTCCAGTCACCGAGGAAATACTTCAACAAGCCAGACGGACCATGTGTCCTTGGGTATGCATCTTTGCCCCCTGTACAGCTGGGTCGTCACAACTACCAACCTCTGTGGCGCAGCCACCACCATCAAAACAGCAGTTGACTTCTAGCAGTGAGTTTGGACCTCATGAGGTAAAGACATTGGTGAAGCTTATGATATTCTGATATCTCCTCTATTGACATGTAGCTCTGGAACAGACCATCTTCACTTGTTAAAAATTACTCGCAAGATACATATTCTAAGTAGTACTCCCTCCGGTCCTTTTTACTCCGTGTATTAGATTTGTATCAAGTCAAACTTTGCAAAGATTGACGAAATTTATATTAAAAAATATCAACATATACAATACCAAATATATTATTATATGAAACTACATTCCATAATGAATCTAATGATATTGATTTCATTCTATGAATGTTGATACTTTTTTCTATAAGTTTGGTCAAATTAGAGATACTTTGACTTTCAGCTGAACTTATTTGCAGACTAGAAATGACCGGAGGGAGTAATTCTCTCACATGTGCTGTCATGCCGATGGACCCAACTTGACATGTTCCGTGCATTTTTTAATTATTTGTTTTGAAAGTAAAAGAGGGAAACAAACTATGGGCACCAAGTTTAAAAATATGTAATCAGTAAGTCTAAAAGCAACTGCATTATTATAGTAAATTCATTATTTGAGTTCATTGGAATATAATAAGCAACAAAGATGAAATTATCTATTTCTGCTGTGATGTGCTACTTTTGACGTGTTGCCTAGGTGTCTGTTTTTTCATCATCTTACTACTATAAGTTGTTAAGATTTCAGGCACCCCAGCCATGCTTCAACAATTGCAGTGGAGCCAGCTACCATGGGTATTAACAACAATTTTCTGCCCCTAACTCATTTGCCTATGGCGCACACACCTGCTATGCCAGCTACCAACACCAGTGGCTGCAACTCTTACTTTGGAGCTGCCTATTGGTGCGTTTTGGCAGCATTCACCTCCTGTGGTGCAGCGTCAGCCAACACCTAGTGAGATAAAAAAAAAAGCACTGAAAAAACCTGTGTTTGCTGACATGTTCCTCTTTTAGACAGTAGACATGGAGTGAATCTCTCATTAAGATTACTTTTTCAAGATGGTCATTCTTGCAAGTAATTCTGGGCTTGTTGCATATGCAAAACCCTTGTGTGTTTCAAACTGAAATTTAAAGAGGGTTACGTAGTGTCAAGACTCAAGACTATGTAAGGTAATATCCTCTCATAGTTTGACATTGTTTCTTGAAACATAAACGTAACCATTTTGCTGAAATGTGAGCACGTAAGGAAAGGTGCTAACTTTTCAAAAAAGAGGAGGAATCCCATCGAAAGGAGCGAATGCTGGAGAAATGTGTGGTAAGGTTGATGGGGAGCCTGGAGTGGCCAAATGAAGTGTAGATGCTGAACTAAGGAAACTAGTCAACATTTAATATCCTCTTTCAGTTGATTGTGCTGAAAAATATATAATAAAAATATGGTTAATCCTAGTAACTCGAAACATGTGCATTATTTGTTACCATAGAAAAGTTTCGGGAGTTGTGGTTTTAGAGAAGAGGTGACATGTGGCATTCTCTTGCGGAACATTTTTGTTGTTGACTAATTAGTTGATTTTGCCGTGCAGTGATATTACTGGCTAGATTTGACTGGATCAATGGCTATGCTCAGGTGAGAGTATGGTGTAAATGTTTAAGCTTTCTGTGTGTGTACTATCGGGAATTTGTTTCTACCTGAACAGTCATCTTCTGATAGATACGCATCAGATAAACATGTCTTGTGTTATAGTCTCACAATATTTCTTGAATAGAAGTGGAATAATTGACTGAAAAATATTTTCACATGCATGGTAGAATGTTGTGGTGGGTCTTTTCCCATACATGATTGTATGTTGAGGTGGGCTTTATCCCATTCATAATTGTATGATGAGGTGTCATGCTTGTATGTTGAGGTGGGCTTTATCCCATTCATAAATAAGTTAATGGGAATGATCCTCTTAGGTATATAGGATGAGATTCCGGGTAGATGAGATTGGAGCCGGAGTTGAGACTCCGGGTAGATGAGATAGGGCTCGATCCGGTGATGCGCGCGGGCGGTGAGGTCCGTTTTACCCCACTCGCTCCCTCCCCTTTGCTCTGTATTCGCACCCACCAAAATCACCGCCATCGCTATACCACTTCGGCTGCCGGTTAGGCCTTGCCGGAGTGCTCCACCCAAGAACTTTACACTTCCACGTTGTTCGGATCCTGTCCCACTGTCGGTGTCGTCCATGGCAGACACCAAGCCCAACAAGTGTTTGGCCAAATGCATTGAGAATTTTTTTTACATTCTTGTTGTTTAACATGAAGCAAGCACGATGGTGGGTACTCGGTGAGGGAGGATGCATTGTTGGGTGATGAGTGATTGGCCATAAGTGCGGTGTTTGTAGGCATGAAGCAAAATGGCACGATATTTTTGCAACATGTGCAGTCTTTGTTTCATGAGCATAAGCACTATGGGCCCTACAATTTGGATTTGATGAAATGATTTCAACGTGAAGTCGCTACTTCATCGGTAGTACACCATTTGAGACGCTGCCATGCAGCAGCAGCAGCAGTCTGAGAGAATGAAAAGTCTGAGAATTACCAGCTTCTGGTTTTGGCTTCAGTGAAGCTTACGAGCATATGAATATAGGGAAATGATTAGCTGGCCGATCACGCGTAGCGTTCCGCCACTCATGCAGCCGATAGATCCAAGTTTCATGGGACCGTGCACAACGCAAATCTTAATGCAAAACACCTTACTCGTGGCACCACATGACTCAGTCCGCGCGTGACGCATGCCTCTGCCACCTTAACAAATTTTTTGCAACATTACTTGTGTTGCAGAAATTCTTTCGCAACAACACACATGTTTCAAAAAATTTAAGACGGAGAAAATATTCCGCAACATCATTTGTGTTGCAGAAGTTGCTCCGCAACAACACCCATGTTATAAAAAAGTTAAGACGAAAACAAATATGCAACATCATCTGTAGTGCAGAGTCGTTCTGCAACAACATCAATGTTGCCAAAAAAATTTGAGACGAAAAAATAATAACCCTGTAACAAATTTTTTACCGCGAATGTTTCTTACGTGCATATAATAGAAAAAAGAACATTTTTGGTCTCAGAGGGGGTTGAACCCTCAACCTGTGGTTGATAAGACTGACGCTCTAACCAATTGAGCTACAAGACCTTGACAATTATGTCTATTTAATTCTTAAATACTAAAATATGTATTAGAAGTATGTGCATATAATAGAAAAAAGAACATTTTTGGTCTCGGAGGGGGTTGAACCCTCAACCTGTGGTTGATAAGACCGACGCTCTAACCAATTGAGCTACAAGACCTTGACAATTATGTCTATTTAATTCTTAAATACTAAAATATGTATTAGAAGTACGTGCATATAATAGAAAAAAGAACATTTTTGGTCTAGGAGGGGGTTGAACCCTCAACCTGTGGTTGATAAGACCGACGCTTTAACCAATTGAGCTACAAGACCTTGACAATTATGTCTATTTAATTCTTAAATACTAAAATATGTATTAGAAGTACGTGCATATAATAGAAAAAAGAACACTTTTGGTCTCGGAGGGGGTTGAACCCTCAATCTATGGTTGATAAGACCGACGCTCTAACCAATTGAGCTACAAGACCATGACAATTATGTCTATTTAATTCCTAAATACTAAAATATGTATTAGAAGCTTACGTGCATAAAAATATTTTAAAAAAGATTGGTCTCGGAGGGGGTTGAACCCTCAACCTGCGGCATATAAGACCGATGCTCTAACCATTGAGCTACGAGACCTCTACGAATATGTTTATTTTTTAATACTATTAAAAATTTAATAGTTATTGGGTTCAGTGGTTAACCAATACTCTCCTCCGTATACTAGAGAAACATATTAAGAGCAGTAGTTTAATTGAGTTTATAATAAAGAAAACAAGGTGCAACTGGGCAACGGGACCTCTACGCTTCTAACCATACGACAAAGAAAC